TTGTTCATGCGCTTTTGTAGCGTTGCAAATATGATGGCGCGGACCCTCACTTGCTCCGCTGGTTCATATTTCATGAAAGATCTATTAAAGATAACACGTTTGCAATAGAACAATTTTGTTAAGGTGATGTCGGAGGAGAATGTAGCGATATACTTTTTTTGGTATTTGCACTACTTTGTTTTGTACATCTCTCCAAATATTGCCCTAAAATTGTAAACTTTTAGCACAAATATGTTTTTAATGACATATGCTAAAGACATTAGTTTAACTACAGATGTAGTGCTTATAATTGGTGATATGCAGAAAATAATTTATTGCTGTGTGGATTTTTTTTTTAGATATTCTATATCAAAGGTAGCACTTTTTTGTGCCTTTTGTCACGGTGCTTCAAATGCCGCCGAGGAAATAATTAAACTATGATAAAATAGTTTATAACACTTAGAACTACAATGGTTGCCCAAGAAGTGACCAATGGCTTTTTTTTTCATTTTCAAAGCCATAACGCTCCAGGAACCCTCCAAACTTACCTGCTTTTGACACATTTCTTTTACTGGCATCAAACAGATTTATTGGCATCTAATGACATTTATTGTATGGAATAGACATACATTGCGATGCATTAGTTTTTCACAGTGATCTTGCTTTTGGTTTCCTGATACGTCTAGAGCTTAGCTAATTTTAGAAACAATAAAAACTGTTTGGGTGTTTAGCTGCGCTACTTGCCGGGTTGTTTATTGTTTGTTTGTTTATTTCTGGGGTGACGGGAAAGGGTGGACACCAGGAGATTGTGGGCCTCCGTTGATGGGGCGAGTCACTACCTGGTGGATTAGGGAAGGGGATGAAAAGGGGAATAAGAGAGAGTAAAAGAATGAGAAAAAGGGCGATCTTTGCATACTGTGAGTGCTATGCAGAGAGGCTCAAGAAGGGACATAAAATGCTCAGCAAAGCGCCACCGCAATAATGTCACCGTCCCCGCCACGCCGGGAGCAGACCTTGAACCGGCCGCAAGAAAACGCTCCATCGTTCCTCCGTGCCCCACTGCCTGGGAGTTTTTGTTCCAGCTCGGTACCCAGATGACGGCCGGCCAAGACGTCGCCCCTCCTCCTTCTCCGGTGCGGCCCCAGCCCTGCCCCGGCAACGCAGCAACAGAAACGGCACCGCGATGTTAAAACGCTGTAGTCACTGATTCGCTAAAAACGTGACCAATTACCGGCATCTGGCCGACTCCCTAGTAAAGTCAAAGTTTGTCTTCAAGACCTGTTTCTCGAAGGAATCTTAGAAGTGCACGGAACGCTCTTTCTGTCGCCCCCCGGTGACCCTCAGGATTCAATATGTCACTGACAGTGGCATGTACAAGTCCTGCTTGGGCGGAACTCTGAAGAAGCGTTCTTCTGGGTTCTTCATGAGCAGGGCACAACAGGAGCCCGTGCTCCGAATCTTCTGGATCCCCACAGTCTGGGCAGTTGGGGTCTTTTTTGCGGCCCATCATGTGAAGCCGCTTTCCCGTGTATGGACACCCAGCCCGGAGTCTGTGTAGCAGTGAGGTGTCGGGACGTACAAGGTTCCGAGGAATCGATGGAGGCGGCTTGCCCATCGCCACTCCAGGATGAGGGTGAAATTGCTGAAGCTCATCGTGAATTAATCGATGCGCCTCATTGAATCGGTCCAAGAGAAACGTCGGCGCCTGATCGTCATGGGCCCTTGCAGCCAGTGTGTCTGCTCGCTCATTGCCGGAAATTTTAACATGAGAGGGGGTCCACTGCATGGCGAGGGTCCACCCTAGATCCTCCACTGTTCGAGCCTCTAATGCAACTCTTGCCAGTAGTGGCGTGCGTTTATCTGTTCGTTGGAGCTGTTGCAGTGCACATTTAAAGTCAGTTAAAATTACAGCCTTAGTGGGCAACGTAATGTTCTTGATAGACTCAAGTGCTCCCCAAATTGCCACCAGCTCTGCCGTTGTTGATATCGTCACAAAGTTGAGTCGTCCAGCAACATCAAAGTCCATTTCTGGAATCGTGATTGCAACTGTTGCTGTCTTCTTGGCCTTGTTGATGGATGCGTCTATATATACCTGAAGCCAGTCCTTGTAGTCGTCATCTTGGCGTTCTAGAGCAGCTGACTTTGCAACAGCTGGCAGTACATTTGCTTTTCGCTGTGGAAGAGGTAGACTTTCGCATATCACCAGTGGTAGACGTGTCGAATGCGGAGGCAAAGAGGGAAGGAACTCTCCAGGCCCTCCAATCTGTCGATCGAATCGCACTATTAAATGCCCCAGGTGAGAGTTTTGTCTATCCCGAAGGTGAGATCGGATGCTAGACTCATATGGTACAGCACTCATGCGACTAATGTTGCGCATGGCTCTCTCCTCCAGTCTTAGGGAAAGCGGCCATTCCTCGGAAGACACAAGTGTCGCAATGTTTTCCGCCGAAGGGGGGAGCCCCAAGCAGCTGCGAAGAGCAATACGGTGGAATGTGTCGAGTTCTCTAATTTGGGCTCTTCCGATGGCTAAAAGATGGAGCGAGTACAGGAGCCTGGACATTATGAGACCCTTATAAAGTTGGAGAAGAGCGCTTTGTGGAGTGCACCAAGAGCATCCTCCAAGTTGTCGTATGACTCGGAAGAGCTGTCGGCATCGACCCAGTGCCCTACGAACTTCTGGCCTCCAAGTCACGCGGTCACCCAAAACAACTCCGAGATAGCTGTGCTGTCTAACCCCTCTGAGTGGCATCCCAGCAAGTTTCAGCTGCAGTGCGTTTTGTGGTGCTCGACCTGCAGGCCGGTATAGAAGTCAAGCTGTTTTTTCAGCTGAGAGGGTAAGGCCCAATCTCGATATCATTAGCGCCGTGGCATCAACGCCCACTTGAAGGCGATTGCGAATTGCGATCGCGTTCTTCGAGGGTCCGACGCACCAAATTGCAACATCATCCGCGTATATGGCCATTCTTGTACGAAGATTGGAGTGTCCTGTGGGCAAGCAACCAGGGAGGGTAGCCATCGCTATGTTGAAAAGCATGGGGCTCAACACGCTGCCTTGAGGAACTCCTCGGTTTGTTGGACGTGGTGAGCGGACAGCTTCAGGCACTTTGACGCGGATGGTTCGTCCAGAAAGGAACGCCTTGATAAAGGAAAGAATCCGTCCACCAATTCTGAGTTGCTTCAGCCGGTGGATGATGGTAAAGTGAGGGAGAGTGTCAAATGCACGACTGATGTCTAAAAACAAACAGTGTCCCATCTTCCCTGTTGCTTTTGCCTCCTCGAGGGTTGACGCAATATCTCCAATGGCATCGCCGGTGCACCTTTTTGCTCGAAAGCCTGCTAGTTCTGGTGGAAACGCTTTCATCCTATCCAATAACCAGGTGAAACGGCGAAGGACCATCCGTTCAAGTAGTTTGCCGACACAACTTGTAAGTGACACTGGTCTGTAAGACGACGGCAGCGCGGCAGGTTTTCCTTGTTTGAGTATTGGGATGATAGTTGACTCCTTCCATGCGTCAGGAATGATGCCGGTTGTCCATACGAGGTTCAGTTTTTCAAGGACATCAAGGTGGTAGGCAGGATCGACGTTTCGGAGGGCTTGGTAGGTTATACCATCCGGTCCTGGAGCACTCTTTTTGTTACACTTGTGAAGGGCTTCAGTGAGCTCCGCCAGAGTGAAATCGGATTGGCTCGCCAACATTGCCTCGTTATTTTGATCTTCGGTGAGTGGAACTTGAGGTAGTCGTCCTAACTGTTCCCGGTACTGTAACGGAGTGCATGACTGCCGCGAAAATTCGTCCGCTAATGCCTCCGCTACCACTGTCATGGGCCAACCGGACTCGGTTGCAAGAGCTGCAATAGGATGACGCGGAATTTTCGCACCGGCGAGGGCTCGAGCGAGTCTCCAAGCACGTCTACCACCACCAGCACCGCCGAGCGATGCGCATCCGTGTCTCCATTGCCATCTTTGAAGTTTTTTCGTATGTCGTCTAAATTTAGCGTCGATCCGGTTGTAGCGCGTCCAGTCCCATGAGGCGTCCGTGCTAAGTGCCCTTCGCTGTGCCTGTCGTCGGGCTGCGCGGAGATTTAGCCATTCCAAGTCAGGTGCAGGGCATGTAACGGGCACCGTGACGGAGCGCGTGGCAAGTCGCAGGCACTCCGCAATACAAGATGTTAGATCTGCATAGTTGCCACTCTCAATGGCGGTAGCAACATGCTTACGAAATAAATTCCAGTTCGTCACCTTACAGGTTTTTACGTTTTTGGGGCTTGTAGCTCGGTGTGTCACTCTGATAGGCACGTGGTCACGTCCCTCTGTGTCAGGTCGAGCCGTCCATAACCCTAATATTTCGGAGGACACCAATGTCAGGTCGATAGTAGTGGGACTGAGCCCCTTCCTACGAAATGTGGAGGACCCATGGTTTAGAGCTCGAAGTTGAATCTCTGTCATGGTAGCCTCTAGCTGTCGTCCTCTGGCGTCCGTTCGCCTACCACCCCAAGCCTCGTTGTGAGCATTAAAATCTCCGCAAATGATAAGCTGACCGCGGCTTCTCTTTTTAATCTCTTCCAGCACTTTTCTGTTCCAGACTCCGTGTGGCGTGATGTAAGCTGAAACAATCGTTGTTTCGCATCCTTTTATTCTAACAATCACGCCGGAGTACTCCTCCATGGCCAAATTCAAGTCCGAAAGGTCTATGGGGTTATGATATACATCGTCACGTACAAGTATCGCCACTCGTGACCTATTATTTGGATTTATAGGGGCACTGTGGTAGAACACATATGGAGAAAGGCGCTCTCCTCCAGGTACGGCATTCGTTTCTTGAAGAGCCAGGACGTCAGCACGCTCAGTTTTCAAAGATTCGCTCATCCCTGGTAGGCGCGTCCGCAGCCCATTTGCGTTCCATTGAAGAATGGAAGGAAACACTGGACTGCGCCTCTGTTGACGAGTGCTATTCTTTTGGTGAGTTATTGGAGCTCTTTGTCTGTTCAGGGTCTTCTGCCCACGGTGTCGCGCATTTGCGTTACTTTGTCCCCCTAGCATGCCCCCAGAAGGGGAAGCATTGCCTGCAAAATTGTAGCAATTGCCCGGGCCACGAGGCTTCAAGTTTAGACAATATTGCCAGGGATATGTTTGCAACTGTCTTGATAATGGAGACCCAAGCGGGTGTTGTTGCGATGGGTAAGCCTGAAGTCTTGTCGCTTTCTTTCCTTTCAGTGCTTCGTTTTGTTGCCTGACGCCTTGGAAGCGCGTGCGAGGAAGGTTGGTGCGTGGACGACGTTGACTTTTCATCACTTGGGACATCGTTCAGTGGTACTTGGTTGATAACGATTTTTTTCTGACAGTCCTCAGCGACAACAGAAGCGTAGCTTTTGGCGCCTGCATTAGAGATCGTTGGCTCTGATTCGTCTTGCATTATGACCTCAGCGGTGTCAGTTATTTGTGTCTTTTGGGGATCTAAGGCTGACTTCGCTTCGCGGAATCCCACTGAATTCTTCTTGGAGTACGCTATAATGTCACGCTCTTTAATCCATTTTGGACAGTCAGGTGATGTGGCTTGGTGCTTTCCACTGCAGTTGGCGCATTTCATTGTCGTGGAATGACATTCAGCACCCGTCCCGTCATGGTGTTGCCCACAACGGCAGCAGGCCTTCGGACGTTGGCAGGCGGTTTTCTTGTGGCCAAATCCGTTACAATTGTGGCATTGTAACGGTCTGTCTGTGAACAGTGAGACTGGATAACGAACGTGCCGTAGAAGCACGTAGCTTGGCAGCTTAGTGCTGGTGAAGGCGACCTTCACGACGCGGGAGCGTCCGAGTCTCCGAACGTTGGCAATCTTGCAGCATGTGTCTTCAGCGCGAAGATTGCGCGCAATCTCGTCTTCTGTGATTTCAGCGTCGACGCCTTGGATGACACCATACGAAATGAGCCCTGACAGTGATGAGTAGGCTCTTACTGGAACACCGCAGAGCATTGCAGTGTTCAGTAGAGTTTTCGCTGCCTGCCCGTTGCGAACATCAACAGCGATCAGGTTCAGCCGATCGTTAGGGCGCACTTGGATGATGCACTCTTGGCAGAGCTTCTCAAGGGCTTCGGAAACTTTCAGGCTGTTGAGCGCTGTAAGTCTGGCCTCCTCTTTCACAGGAACGAAGATGACGGTGAGGCTGGTGTTATCTTGCTTCTTTGGTTGTTGCGGAACGTCAGGAGACGAGTCGCTGTTCTTTGGACGACAGCGCTTTCTGCCGGATCTGCGCCATTCGCCTCCGGAATCTTCGCTCTCCATGTTGGCGGTCTCTGAGCAGACAGATCGACTGCAGTCCTGGGATTCATCGAGTGCGCTGCTGGCCTGGTGTTGTGCTGCCGTAATGGATATGTCGTTTTCGGAAAGAGACATACCAGCATGCATCCCTTCTCTTGCTGTAGAGGGTGCTGCCCTAGCCCCTGCCGTCCGAGTAGACCCCAAAGTCCAAGGGACCGACAAAGTCGTGTAGAATAGAAAATTCCAGAGATAGAAGCTTTTGCGTTCCGGCTCAGATCACTTCGTCGTCTTTTCCCAAGTCTACCTGCCGGGTGGCAGACAAAACTGCTGATTTCTAATGTTCAGGAAATCGTCGAGGGCGGCGTTAGCGTCTGTATCATCATCAATGTCTGTCTTTTTACCTTCACATTTAGAAAATATATTGGAAGATTTACTCTCACCAAATGAATGGTCAGGTTAATAAATCTAAGATAAATAATTACACACGTGCAGTGTGATATAATGTGTTCCTTATTCGATATGATTGAAATAAAAAAACAATAAAGTCTAAAAGAAAAAATAATATACCCGAGTTCACTTCATGCCTAGAGCCACTAAATGAGCTGCGCTTAGACTATCGGCACTCTGTTCCTCGACATTGCTGTGGGCGCCGCCATTTTGGGTCTTGTGCAGAGCAGATGCAACTGCCGATCGTCATGATTCAAAACTACGACTTCCTCAGCAATAGATTCGGTGTTAAAAAGCTAATGCAATATTGCTTTGCTCTGTCGCGGACTGTTTAAACACTTGTGGAAGACGGAAAAGCGTTTCCTGTGATTTCACATAAAGCTTCAGATAACTGACAACCATCATTTTAAGCCACAATATGGCCACGTTTTGTTACTCTGAAGCGTAGCTCATTTAATGACACTCTTTATGCCCTAGTTCAAGGAGCTTGTAGTACCTGGAGGTGGCATGACGTAAGCCCTGTGGATTCCACTAGTCACAACCTTTTGACGCCTGCCTCTTCCTTATTGTTCCTGCTAGTGCCACTAAACGCAAAACAAAAACTGGTTTTTTTTGCGTTTCTTCTTCCTTCTTATACGTTTGTTATGAAGGATGAAGGTTGCCCGATTAATTCATGGAATCGAAAATTAATGTCTTGGCGGGCACTTGTAGACAAGGTGCTTTAGGGTAGAGATATATGCGGGAGTTTAGATGACGCGTATGTAGCTGAGAAATCGTGAAAAGGACTGGGACGATTAATGTCTTTTCTGTTATTTGTAGACTGTTGGTGTTGTTTGTGTTTATGCTGTCCACTCTGGAGCTAATGTTTGCCCTGCTCTGCTGTGGGATTTTTTTTAAGCAGTGCGCGCTGCTGCTGAGCGCGTGCTGACGACGAGCTTCCGCAGTCCTTTTGGAGCGTGCATTTAGCACCATCAAGGTTGCTGGTCTTAGCAGGCTATTAATGTGAGCTCGTACTGAGTATGCGCTCTACTTCCTTGCTTTCAAAACTCTGACTGACTGCATGCGCTCTAAACATCGCCCTCAAATATGGCGTCTAGTGAATACCTCCTATTGAGGGTTCACTGACGCACGTGTCATGCCTTTCGGAAGCCATCTGAAAAGCTTCCCTGATTTCGCGCTTGGTCCTGTCTTGTGATCTATCTAAGATAATTAGGGTTCCAAGCAGAGCTTCGCAGCTGCATCTTGCACACTGTGCTGCGAGGTTACCAGATGCCTGCAGCTGCACGCAAGCGTATTTGTGCTCTCTTGGGGTCTGATTTATACATCTCCTTGTTTGTCCTATGTATGATTTTCTATACGTCAGTGGTATCTTGTATACAACAACTCCTTCAGTGCAGTCAACGAACTTGTGTTTGAGTTTCACCTTACACGATGCTTGACCTCTTGTGTTGTTCTTCTTATGTGTTTCGCAGCGCAGTATACCTCAGAATGACAACGCAACTAGCCAAAATCCAAGCATTGTTAGTACAATGCTGCCTCGGCTCATCGGGAATTTGAATAAATCCTGGACATGTGCTTTTTGTGCGTCATTTGATTTTCCTGGCGTTTTTCTGCGTTACACGCAAGATACAGCCCCAGACTGTTGCCGCGCAGAAAACAGTTCTTGTTACCTTTGAGACGCCGCTTTATTATTGCATCAAAGATGAGCGCAATTTAAACTTCGTACCGAAAAGCCAAGCACCACAACGTGAGCCAGTTCATTTTTTTTTTTCTTTTAACTTTTTTGCTGTTTTTCTTAAACTGTTGTTCCATGCGGCTCTCACCGCTTACGAGATAAGAAACGATTATAATTTTAGCTCAGCCTTTATCTTCTCAACTCACACCCAGACTTACAACACGACGAGATTGACGACTTCCACACTTGGACGCCTTCGGCAACGCCGACAATGTTTTTCTTGTCATTTTTTTTTTTGCGACTATTGCATGGATGGATGGATGGATGAATGGATGGGTGGTAATGGCTATACCATTTGTAACGGACGGAAGCTTGCACCACCTAGCGCAGTAGATTTGATCAGTGTTGCCCACAGTGGTACTGCGTAGGCGCAGAAGAACCATAAAAGCGGCCTTTTTTTTTTCTTCTCGCTTCCTCCTCCGGACTAATAAATAGCGTTATTTATTAGTAATATCAATGCCTCCTGTTTAGTCCATGCCTGTTTGAAGCGCTCCCCGATGCCGTCGAGTTTATTAATTCCTCCTTTTCTTCTAACGTCCTTGTGAGCCATGAGACGGCGCTGCCTACGTTGGGAGGGTATAATTAAAGCCGATTAATAATAATAATAACTTTATTCACCATATCACATATGGTGGGAGCTAGAGAAAAAAGCTGACAAAGCAGCTTGACGGGTCTCCAGCCCCCTGAACAGGTACACAGCGGGGCCAAGTTACATAAAAGCAAGAAAAAAGCAACAGCAAAATAAACAGAAACAACCACAAAACGCTGTTATGGTAAAACAAAAAGAAGATGACTAATGCCTGATTCACATGGTGCGAATTTGCCTGCGATTTCGAAATTGCGACGCCGTTCTTGCGGCACAACGCAGTTGCGGTGCGAATTCGACTAATTCGCGACTGCGTATTTTGCCAAACTTTCCTTGCGAACGGCCGCTTTTGCGAAGGGGACGGACAGCCAATCAAACGCGGCTCGTGAAAGACGTCACGGTGGTCATAGCAACGTGGGAATCAAAAATACGAAAAATGCGTCACCTACGTCGTCGTCTTCGAAATTCGCTGCGGGGGTGGGGCGGCAGATGTGCTTCTTCCAAGTGAATATTTTTCGCCGGAGGATGTAAGCTTGAGTTCGGCATTAAAACGAACTGGCGTTTGCGTACCACGCGAGGGTTGTGGTTGCTTCCTTTGTAAAATTGCAGGCGGTAACAATTGACGCTTCTGTTCGATAACTTTGCTTAAGGGACTCGTTGCGTAGTAGAAAGATCCTTTCTTCAAATCTGCTTGCAGATGACGCGAAGTTCTGTCTAGAAACCGAGAAACGCTGAACAGCACCTCGTTATTAAAGGCGTTTGATAAAAATCAAACTTAAGATTTTTACGTAGTGCCAACAACTATTGATATGTAAACGCGCTGGACGCGTGCTACGCGAGTGACACGCGTGTAAAATGGCTTTAATTACAAGGTGCCGATCAGCGATTCTCGGTTTCAGGACAGACCTTCGTGTCAGATCTGCAAACAGATTTCAAAAGAGGGTCTTTCTACTATTCAATGAGTCCCCTACGCAAATGTCACACGTGCCACGCGTGACATTTGTCATACAAATCCTGTGACAATTTGGTTTTGTGCATAGTTTGCGATTATTTCACCAACATGATTGTTTTGGCTTTTTTTTTGCATCTCAAAACCTGTGGTTTTTTATTTATGTCGTTTCCTTTATCTTCAGTGTTTTTGTCATGTTCGCAATCGCTAATATTGTTTGAATTAAAAAAAGCTAAACATTTACGTTAGCTTTTCATGCTGAACTACACCGAGGAAGTAGAGAATATGTTTTGCACGTCCAGCGTGTCGTTCATTTTATGAAAATCGGCCGATAAAACGCATTCTGTGTTTGGTAAAGACCCGATTGGGCAGCGTAGGTCCAACGAAAACAGTGAAATAGCACCTCACCCTGTGGGGAATCAGCCAGTACTCTGTCGATCTACTTTAGGCTATACCTGCCACAAAAAGTGTCCGCCAGTTTGTCCGTAAAAGAGGCAAAGACCACAACCCATTTTCTACAAAAAAATTGACTGATTTGCAGGCAACAGGTTCGGGGTGGAAATGAGCTAGAGAGGTGACATATGAGGCAGGGGTGATCCAGGAATACATTTTTTATTGCTCGCCTTAAATGTTGGAAGATAACAACTAACAAAAGACAAAAAAGATGCAATTACAAAAGAGAAAAAAAATCAAGTACAGGCTCACCTTTTTGGCAGACATCAAATACGAATAAAGAGGAACATAACACGTTGCTGGAGTCATGGGGTGCACCGGCGCCAAAAGGCAAATATTTGCATTGTGCGCCAGTGCTGCAAGGCCGCCCACTCATCTACACACGCCACCGACGATCTGAGTACCCCTTGTCAATGGCCAGACGAAATCGACCCCTACGTGACCCGGAAGCTACAACGCAAGGCACGACGAGAAGGAAATTCGCCGTGCCTTCTGTTATAGTTTCGTCGTAACCACATAACCCCCTACAGCCTTCTTATACAATCGTGTGCGCAACAAAGACGAGGACAAAAGCAGAGAAGGGGACACAACAAGGCGCAACTTTCAACTGAATTTTATTGAAAACGTGTTCCGGTATATATATAGTCTCAACCATCGTTACAATGACAACAAAAAAAGACAAAAGTATAGGAAGAAAAACACCATGACAGAGCATAACTGGGAAACAACACTATCTCGTTCTCAGGAAAAACAATTCCTTCTCCGATAATGCGATCGACGGCATAGCAACACACATGTCTCCTAAATAATCAATGTGCTCGGCTTCTATGATTTCGCGTGTTACCGCTGACTTG